TGATGGCATTAAATAAGTGTTTATTTAACATGTCTTTAACAATGCCACACAGTGTCAGTATTGGTCCCGGTTTTGCCCTACTTAGTGTGTCATCTCCCCGTTTGGCCAGCAGGTGTCGCTCGCTATTCCATCTCCCGTAGTTTCCCCAGTCTGTTTCTAGTATGTCTCTAGTATCTTCCCCAGATCCCTAGGCCGCCATGTGGTTGAATGGGCTAAGTATGTGGCAAAGAACCAAGCTCCCCTACCGTCATACACTTGAGACTGGCTGGAGGTTATTCTGAGTTTACGTTTTTGCCCTTTTTAGTTTTTGTACATATTCATGTTATTTCTGTATTAGTCCTTGATTTTATTTTTCTTTTTGGTTATCTTTATAACTGCAAAAATATACATATACCAGTAGGCTATATGAAGAATATAAAACTGGAAATATATTCCATGCATATTTTAAATGCCTGCTAAAACCCCATTTCTGTAGACATTGTCACATCATGAAAGGGAAGCATAACTCGGATGCAAGCTGTAGGGCAGAATCAGGACAGACAGACATGACTTTAACTAAAATGTTTTTATTTTTTTGTTTTTACATTACACTTTTGTCTGTGTTTTTATTTTATATGTGTATTGGTTTTAATGTGAAAAACACTTTGTGACCATGTGTCTGTGAAAGGTGCTACATGAACCTTCACATACTTGGTGGCGTTCTATTAGCTGAAAAGGGTCACTTTCCACTCTGCTTCACGAATGAACTGGACAGCTGGTTAACTTGTCTCACTCTGTGCTTCCATAGTATGGAGGGAAATCCCGGACATTTTTCAAAAGGAATTGCAATTGCATTTTCCATATGTGGACGCATAAAGTGTGACATAATTCAAATGCAATTGCAAATTTTGCATTAACGTTTGCTTTTTCGCTTTCGCGAACGAACACTGACTGCCACTTTTCAAATGAAAAAGCAAAGTCCATTTGCAATTGCATTTCCCATGTCTTACAAGGGTCAGGGGTGGGTCTATACTGTGGGCGTGATTGTATGGGGAGTGACGTCACTCGCAGTCGACGACCAAGAGGGGTGTGGAAGTAAATTAATGACAAAAGTCGTTGATGAAAAAAACACGTTGAATTACACTTATCGAATAATCCAAAATTAAGTTCCAAAGCATACGTATTTTAAAGTGCATGTTTATAATTCAACCACATGAATTCAGTTCATTTAATTTCGCCTCAAAATACTGTAAATTTCAAAAGAACAAATTCAGTTGAAAATATTCCATGTGTTTTATTCAAGCAGTAACATTCAGTCCTCTTATTTCTGCTTTACAATATTCAGTCCCGTTATTTTCGCTGTTTCAAATACGCTGCCACAATTTCAGTGGTTTAAAATACGTTCCGAAATTCAACCCTCTACATCTGGGGGGCTAGCAGGATGAGTGATAGACTGCAGATAGATTTCTCTTCGATATAGTAATCTACGATAACTCCCAACTAATAGGTTTTTATGTAAGTAATTCGCTAGCTGCATTAATTATCACTAGAGATGCACCGATACCGATATTCGGATCGGTATCGGCGCCGATCCAGA